CAGTAGGCTTCAAGTTATCGAGATATTTCTATGCCAGGTTGTTCCCTGAAACCGCTGATTACCCTCGTTTTCGTGAAAGTTATTGTCGATCATCCTTTGTTTCTGTGATGACTTGCGCTCACCGTCTTCCTTTATTCAGCTGGCTGGATAATATTTGTGGACTGGGCTGCCGTGTTTGGCATAGGACCGTGCGTTATTAGCAGATAATCCTCGCCAGTCCGCTCTTCCGACGTCGAAGCGTTCAACATACATTGTGCCTCTTACTTTCGTATTCGAATCACATTTCGTTCATTTTCGTGTTTCTCGGACATCTACCCGTTCTCAGATTTTATCACTAAATATCAGGCTTTTGAATTCCTCATATTTCCTCCATTTTATTTCTATTTTAATTTTTTATACTCAATTATATTGTCGATTTGGATTTGAAATAGTGATGTCATTTTATTCTATAATGAAAAATGCCTTTTTGAAGAAAACGATGTGGGCGAGAGGTAAGGTCGCATAGATCGCTTTCCAGCATTTGGTCTCAGTAAACAAGCTAATTTAAATTAGTAAATTTTAAATTTAAAATTTAGTAAATTAGTTAATTAGGTAATTTTAGCTCGGTTTCTATTCGGAATGGTTCGCCAGCTCTTCTTCGGTCCTCCACTTTACAGCGCTCACTTTTATTATCACATTTATTATCGCTAATAATGGTGCAGTTTATGAGGAAATAACCCGACCATGCGTCGGCTGAAAGTACGGGGAGGTGTGAATATTCAAAGGATGTAAAGCCATTTGAAAGCGAAAATTGTTCTGGAAAAAAATGTCAAAAGCAAAGAAAGGCGGTACAGAGAATAACCGTTGAGATGTGTCCAAATAAACGAAAGCACTTCGAGTCGAAGGCCTCACACAATAGAAAGTGGAGAAAATGGGGACGCGAAATGTGACCACGAATTACAGCGGAGTGCTACCTATTTGCCGAGTTTTCTGCTTTTGTAGTTGTTCACCCTATGGAAGTGAACATTTGGCGGGGGGGGGGTGGGAATGAATGGGAGAAGCAAAAGATATAGCCTAGTTGGGAGTAAATATTCAAGACCTCGGTCTTGAAATTTAGTGGAAAAACCAAATACGCCTCCTAAGCGATCAATGAGGAGTGACGGGAGTAATATTTTGGAAACGCCTAAGAGTTTGTAAAAGGTTTCACTAAGGGCAATCCTACCGTTTGAACTACTGGCTATTACACGGCCTCACCCATCCATGCCTTTGGGACGGTGACAATTGTGCAGTGACACAGCTTCAACATTTTGAAACTCCCATTGAAACCTTCATATTTCTCAAAGCATGTCGAGAGAGAATGGGTGGGAGGGAGGTAGTAAGTGGGGAAGAATGCGGAAGAAACGGGGAAGAAAATGGCTTGATGAAACGTCATAACTTCCCAAACTTAGATTATCAAATTCGCGAGAGTATTGCGAACTTACTTTTTTGCAACGTCTTGAGATCCGATTTGCTTTCGTTCTATCTCCGGAAACACGGCCTCATGTTGCCAAATGTGGGTACCTCGTTGGCAGACGGAGTGTTGGCCATATTTTTGGTTAAGCCTGAGAAGTAACCGAAGATTGAGAATTGCCGAAGGAGGAGTAGTGGTTGTTTCTTCTCCGGACCTCACCATGTGTCCAATTCCGCTCATTCATCTGCTGCTCAAAAATATCACGCTGAAAACCGGTTATGGGGTGCCCTTTCATGTTCGTTCTCCATATGTGACACGCTATACTGTCGTTCTCAACTTTCAAATCGTGCCTGGCCTTCATGTTTTCATGCCTTGAATCCAGAACAACACTGCGTGTCATATTGAAGTTTTAAGTTTGTGTTTTTTGCATCATGAAAATCGCCGTGATGTGCTAGCAGCTGGCAAAGTTCACAGTGAAGTGTGGCGTTCTTCCTTGACAATTTTGAAACACTCTTTCAAATATTTTCCTCCTGTGTTCATTCATTTAAAGTGGTGGCTACGGAATAGGGTTTCCCTTTCAGCGCAATTATCTGTGTTTCGTTATCTATCAAATTAAACTAGCAACTTCGCGTCGAACGTTTCTCTGTGAGAGGCGGCCACGCATATCTCATATCACCGCAGAATTTTGGTATCAAGCGTCGAACGTTACTGTGAAATCGATGTCAATGGGAACACAGTGTTTTTAACGTTTCTAATTTAAGTGGTACCCTTTATGAGGTGTTGAACGAAGAAGGTTAACCTGGGTGGAGGCGGCGGTCGCACACCTGGCTGCGACACCTTGCACACTTTATTCATAGGCCAACTGCTTATTATAAGGTAATGTACTCATTTTTATCAACACTTTTCCATTTTCTCATAGAACTGTATGGCCAGTACTGCCGCACTGGGCGTAGACCCAATTTTGAATATACACTGGTGTGCAAAACCTGAGGACGAGAAGATGCATTAACATAACTATTTGGTAGCAGTAATAACTATTTGGTAACAGTTCTTACTATGCGTGGTGAGTTCCATAGTGCTGTCTTACTCGGCAGTATCAAGTCATGGAAAAGTTAAGTTCGTCCTCAAGTTCTGCACACGTGTAATATTGTATTAACTTTAAGATGGGAGAGGCTACGTTACCCCTGCAAAGAGTCGTACTCGACGAATTTCTCCAGCTTTGAGAGCGTGAGTGTTAAAAAGGAATTAAAAGGCCATATTTTGCAGACGGTCTCCTGAGCTGTTGTGTAGGAAGTTTTTAGACAATTCTGCAAGAAACTCAGATGCGTGGCGTTCTCACAGCGCTGGCCTCTTTTCTACTTTTTACTAAAAGGCTCTACTAGCGTAGATTGTGTCGCTTCATCTAATTTTCGATTATTATCTCATTTAAATTCCTTCTTTTTTCCGATTTCTATTTCTCTCTCATTTGCCCATGCGAGTCTCTCGTTCTTCCCTTGATGCCTTCATGCTTTGCAAAAGCTAGTTCTTACTTACCGTCTGCAGTATTAGGTTGAATGAATTCATAATCACTTAAATGTATTCGACTAAGTCACGGTAGAGAAGTACGTCTAGATTCTTGCAGTAGCAGTTATTCTCTGCTGTCGTATGCTTTTTTTTGCTTCGTTCGTTTCCTGTTCCTTTGTTCAGTTGCTACGAAGTAATTCACCACATTCGTACGGTGTTATTGTCGTTCCGAGACACGTTTTCGTTGATTCACCAAGCACTTAATGGCGAAGCGTCTTCAATTGCTCCGTTGATTATAATCGATGTTCAGGTAAGCCAAAATGGAGGAAGCGAAGAACATGGCGTTGCTGTTCTTTATGGATCATCTGATGCAAAAGAACGGCCGACGAACGATTCACGATCTGAGCTGTCAATTCGGTGCACGCGGGTCAGTATGAATGAAAATTCATGGAAATCTTATGAAAAGTATTAGCTAAAAATCATTTGAGATTTATTTGAAAATCAATATTTTATTCATGTTTAATTGCCTCGGACTATAGTCCCACCTTAAAGCGAATCGGGAAGCTTCTTATTTAAAACGTCGGCATTAAATATATGACCAGATGTTGGATACGGATCAGTTCTACCAGGAAGGTCTTTCAGGGCGTGCCAAGCTTTTTGAAAACGGTCTTTTGCATGATATAGGGGCACATGCGGGAACCACAGAACCATGGTTAATTTTTCCTGAACGGCCCTCTGAATACCAGAAAAGGGGTCCCTAGTTCGATTCCTCGTGGTGACAAATTTTTGCATTTCGAGTTGACGTTTCAAAATTCGCGCAAAATGGAGTTAGCATGAATAATTAGTACCATATTCATGATTAGGACCGTCAGTAACCCTTACAAATAGACTTTGATTGAAAAAAAAGGTGTGACTAGGGACCCCCTTTTCTGGTATTCAGAGGGCCGTTCAGGAAAAATTAACCATGGTTCTGTGGTTCCCGCATGTGCCCCTATATCATGCAAAAGACCGTTTTCAAAAAGCTTGGCACGCCCTGAAAGACCTTCCTGTCAGAGCTAGGAGTGAACCCTGTGGAAAGAGTTTCGATAATGATTTGAAAAGTGAGCTCTACGTTTCTTAAAATTGGAAGTGGAGATCGACGAGAAAGCAATACTAGATATCCTTACTGCTATGGATTTCGTAGTTACATTTCTCTTTCATTGCAGTTTTGCTTGACACGGAAACGAGTAGATATCTCCAAAACTTTTTGGATTCTGTTTTTATACCCATTTTGTTGCTCCATACCATAAACATACCAGTTTTCACAGCTAACTATATATTTGAAACTTTTACTGTTTCTTTTCATTTTGGCGTCAAAATTTGCTTGATCCGTTACGAATGGAATTGTTATCTTCAGTTTCTCAGAAGAGATGCGAAATGCGGTTGGCACCACCCAGGAGGGCCTTACCGAGTTTCTTCAGCAGCACCCATCCCTCTTTACCCTAGAGGGAGATCAGGTAGGGCATACGTTATCTATGTTTATTTCAATGGGCTCCTAGTTGAATGTGCAACAAAAGCGACAGAATTCCGTCTCACGTCTGTTCGCGGACCATCTCGTGCCATAGGTCATCTCACGAATTTTCAGAGGAAAGCCAACGCGTTGCTGCTCAAATGTGAAACTAGGTGGCGAGGGGGACCGCCATTTGAGAAAAAGGAAAGGGAATTGTCGAAAGAGCCAGAAATATAGGCCTCTTTGATCTATACTATGGAGGCATCTAAGATTAAGAAATATAAATAATAAGCCCTAAGGAGAGTGGTCTACAGATGGAGGCAAGAGAGCTAGCGGGTGACGAGACGATAGAGGAGCAATATCGCCGCCGGGTGGATTCACCAATGTTTCACGACTGTCCACTTTGCTCCGTCTACGAGCCCTTCTTCTAAAATTTTCGCAACATTTCACTCACCTAACCATGGCGTGCGCCTTGAAGGATCTCCAGAAATTGGTGGTAGTTTACTACCTGATTAGGCACCGGAGTTCGGTTTTAGAGCTGGCAGCGGTTGCGCAATGCGCTGCAGATCGGTTGTAGAGCTCAACGCCGCCAACGGGACACTTCTCATTGGTGGGTGCTCACGGAGCTCGGGAACCCGAATTTGCAGTGTGTAACCTACAATGATTTTTGATGGTTGTCTTTCGCCTGAAACAATAATTTATTGTCCGCATCTTGAGCCCAATTGATCTTCTATTCGGATTAGGATTTGGTTGTTCCAGGTGATTCTGAATGGCTTCGGCGATATCACTGCGAAAAATAATCCGCTTTTGCAATCGGCGTCAAGAAATCGTGACTACGAGAAGGAAGCTGTGGAATTTTTCGTGATGAAGCTCACTAAATTTGGACCCGAATTACAGGTAATATAAGTGTACGACAATTCTTCATCGTTGTGCGCGCGAGTAGTGAGAAAATACGCATCTACTTCTGCATTCATGGACATCCGGAGTTTTGTTGGCCTCGAGTTTGATGTGTCGACCGCTATGGCTTAAACCAGAGCTCCATGTACAAAATTCCATTTTTTTCCAATCAAAAATCCTGTATGCTAACAAAGAAAACTTAGAAATGTAACTACAGTAAACTTTTTGGCAAGCCCCTACATAGCACGTGAATTGTAATCCAAAACTAAACTTCCAGGTCCAAATGATGGACGTTTCATGAATTCTCCCGATAGTTGACTTCTAAAATGTGCACTATTTGATTGGTACATTGCTGAATCGTTGAGACTAATCGCCAGTCCTGTTTTAGATCAAATCGTTGCTGGGACATCGTTCTCAGGCCGCTCCAGAGGTCCGATTAGTCTCCGGTCGTCATCTGAAGGAATTCTGCGAGTTCCTGCAGTCGCAAACGGAGCATTTTGTTGTAGAAGGCGATCGTGTACGCCTGAAGGTCGGTGATCTCCTCCTCCTAATATGAAATCGTTATACAAAATGGTTCCGCTATCCGTGGAAACTGAAGAGAATATGGGCCTCAGGATATTATTGGGACGCTGCCTGCTGGGGAATTTCTCGAAACCATCACAGCTCTTCTTAATTAGATTTTCCAAACCTTTTGAATGTTTGAGGCGAACATGCTGTCAGCGCATGGGTACAAGTCTAGGTTTGGTGCAACTTCAACATAGTGATGAGACGGTATGATATGATGAAGAAAGGAGTAGTTGACAGTCTTTTCGAGATAAGCCACGCCCTTAAATTCCATTTAAAGTCCCAGTAGGATTTAATGCGACATACCCACTACAAGGATTCAGCCGTCGGGCGATCATCTTACTTTTTCTTCCCAGACCAAAGGCAGATACTGAGTAACCAGCCTGGTGGGATCGAAGTTTTGGTGGGCCTGTGTGGTGTACGATCTGAAATCCGAACCCTGCGTGACGTAGGTGGCACCCTTTGCGACCACATCACCTCTACCGGTGCTGTAGCCGACGTCCCAAGAACTTTACTCCATCAATGGAAGATTGTATTTTTTTAGAACATGCCGGAACCGGACGATAATGCCATCGAATTGGATGACGAGGGCAAACCACTGGCAGGTGTGAAGGCAAAGCAAGCGGCTGTAGAATACTTGAAGAGCGTATTAGAGCAAGTAAGATATAATACTTCACATTTATAATACCTATTTTGAACCCATGAACGTGGTTTCTGAGAAGGAACAGTGATGTCTGTTCTGCATGCTGGCATAGAAATCAACCTGGAGCACGCGAGTTTGCAGGTTGATTTTTATGCCTAGATGAGGGTATCCATACATCGACACTTTTTCGAAGAGAATATCAACGTTGAAGTATGGGACTTTGCGTTGTATCACTGATACTGTGCGCGGATGTTGGAAGCATCAGAAAAGTGTAGAAAATAGTCGTCATGGTGAAAGGTTTACGAGTGACCTAAATGTGCTCTCCTTTGTTCAGAATGAAGACCAACCGATTCCACTGGATATGTTCTATCAGCGGTTCTGCCAGCGATTCTCACATTCAATTCGACAAGATGTTGCAACAAATCCGAAGGAGCTGCTGCAGTTTCTCAAGCTCAACCGCGGATTGTTTTTCATTAGGAGTAACAAGGTAAGTAGTTGAATTGGATTAGTTTTCGGAGATTGTCCGTGATCCCTTTTTGATGGTAAGAAAAATATTTGAGAACACTGGTGATATGTGCAATGCATAATTTTAGGTGACGTTGGTGAAAAATCGTCCATCGGAGGATGGCAGTGAGAATGGCTCGGACGAAGGTGATCTAGAAAGCAACAACAACAGCGTGTTCCCGCTGGACCAAAACGCTCTGGCACGGATTCACTTTGTGAAAGCATTGAAACCCGCTCAGGTGAGG